ACAAACTGTGCCTCCACAAGTATTTAAATGTATGACTCCTGTTTTATAGTATTTATTGATAAAACTTTCAAAGTTTTCCAGAGAGATTATATTTGTCTATCATATGTAACCTAAATTTTGTATGAGTCCCTTAGTTATGGGGTCGGATCTTAGAACTTATAAAATGGCTTTTAAAAACGCTTTGACTTTCCATCTACCAAATAATTGTCTTCCTGTTAGAACACTTTAAGCCTTTTTAGGTTAATCATGGTTGTAGTTGGGTAGATTATGCATATTGCATGACATATGTTTCCCCTCAGCACCATCCTTTAAAAATGCAAATGATTTAGTGCCTTTACTTAGGGTGCAAATAGTTCATGTAGGTCAATGTTAGAACTTTTATTAAGAAATCATTATATTTCTGCTTTATATTTTCCCTAAAATAAACATAATTTAAAGAGAAACCAGAAAAAATGGATTAGAAAAGTAAATATGCATTAGGTTTCCAAATATCATTTTCATCGAGAATAAAATTTCTTAGTTAGCTTCCTAACAGCTGAGATAAAAATTGATATTTTTTTTTTTTTTTTTTTTGAGACAGAGTCTCACTTTGTTGCCCTTGGTAGAGTGTTGTGGTATCACAGCTCCCAGCGACCTCAAACTCTTGGGCTTAAGAAATTCTCTTGCCTCAGCCTCCCAAGTTAAAAATTGATAATCTTGTAACAGGAGACATCCCATGGGCCATTTAATAATAAGCAAGTAAAGTTCATTTGCAGTCTAGCTTTTTTCACTCAGAAAACCTTAGTGAACCATTTGAAGCAGGAGTGACAGACGAATTGGCATCTTGGGTCTTGTCAGCATCGATATAAGAGAGTCCTATGAGTTGGTATCACCTGGTGAAATCCTTCTCCTTTGTTGGAAAGCTTTCAAACCTGTATCATGGAAACTCTAATTTCCCAAATGTTAGTGTTTGCCCCCAAAATGTATTGCCAAAGAGAGATTAAGCAAATTTAAGAGATTGCTTTAATATTGGACATATAATGCAAAGTTTGGTAATATTTCTTATGCATAGATGATCATGGAAATTTTGTGCTGGGTACATACTTCTTATAAGTAGTCTTTGAAATCCAGTGTAAAAAATGTTGACCTGGGGGTAATAATTTAGATCATGAACTCAATAAAAATACTGAAACTGTTTACTACTATATCTTAGGATAGGGGGATATAGAGATGTTAATAATAGATACTGACTCTGCCCACAAGAAGCTCTTGGTTTAGATGGGAAACAAAAAAATAATTACAATATACTGTTGTAAATGCTGTGATGAAAGCAAAAATTCTTGGAAAAATAAATGTCTCAACTGAGTTTTGGAGGTAACCTGAGTTGATGTGATTAGGCAGTGAGAGGTGTTTCCAAGGGAAGGAGCCGCACATTGGAAAGCACAGAGGACTGAGAAGGAAGGGGTTACTTTTTATTTATTTTCTATATTATGTGTACAATTTTAGGACCTTACGTAAGATTTTCCACTTCAGTTGAAAAATGTGTAATTTTGTCAAGTATTGTATTGTTTTTGCTGTATTGCAGAAAGACACCACACCACTCTTCCTTGCTCTGAAGGAAACCCATTCAGATGTGGCAGAACTTTTAATTAAGAATAAAGCAAATATACATCTAGTTGATGGATGTAAGAGGTATAGTAATTAGTTCTTTTTTAAAAACCTGAGTGGTGTTCTAGAGTGGTAATTGTATCTCTCCTCAGAAATGTTAAATTAACAATAACTTTACCTCATAATTATTGGGGTATAGTGAAAAACATCAACACAGATCTTCAGTTAGACAGAAAAGCAGTTATTTTGACTGGGCAATATGAAGGACAGTATACAGAAAGATTTATCTTTTCTTTCAATATTGACTGATTTGTTTGTAATTTGGTGTTTTGGTGATAAATTAGCTGACAGGCTTTAGTTAGTTTTATAAAATGTGGACTTAAACTTGTAGTTTACTTTATGACTTAATACAAACTTCTTCACTCTTTCATAGCATTTTTCCACCTCTGTTGCCCATATAGTTTTCCTTTAGAACGTTCTGTTTCCCATAAGTAGGAGCTGGGATTCATTTTGTCTTTTGAATGACTCAGTGAGTCTTTGTTTTAAGTTGTTTTCTTTGAAGAATATTGATGTTAGATCATCCTTAAGTGACTATTGCTATTACCAGATCCTGTGGCTTCATCAGCTTTTCTCCATTTTCATTTCTAGTGTAGTTGATGTTTTATTTTTAATCGGCCTGGGCAGAGGGAAGAAAGCTTTAACTGGATAATCTTTTCCTTGAATATTTCAGTACCCAAGATGTTTATGTCTGTAAGAACATTCTGCACTGACAGGCAGGATATTGAATTGGTAAAGTATATTCAATTAGTGCTCTAAATAACTTTTTTCAAGTTCGTAAGTTTGGGTTATCTTTCTTCTTTTAGAACAGCCCTCATGCTTGCTGTACTTTGTAATTCGGAAACCTTAGTGGATCTTCTTTTGGAGCAGAATATTAATGTCTTTGCTGAAGATTTATTTGGACGGACTACAGATAATTTTCTCGCTCCTGACTCTGAAAGGTAAGTATAGACATTAAAAGACTAGTAAATGCTGGGTGGCACCTGTAGCACAGTGGTTAAGGTGCTGGCTACATGCACTGAGGGTAGTGGGTTCAAACAGGGCATGGGCCTGCTAAATCAACAATAACAGTTGCAACAAAAAAAATCTGGGCATTGTGGCAGGCACCTGTAGTCCCAGCTACTCAGGAGGCTTAGACAAGAGAATTGCTTAAGCCTTAGAGTTTGAGATTGCTGTGAGCTGTGACGCCTCAGCACTCTATCCAGGGTGACAAAGTGAGACTCTGTCTCAAAAAAAAAAAAAGAGTAGATAATGCTAAATTGAGGTGTAAAATAATTTCTACTGCAACTTGTATATCAGGTGAAATTTCATGGTTTGATTCAGATACTTTTAGAATGGCAGCGAGATAGCTGGAGGAAAAGCAAAAGCAGAGTAGTTGCAAACAGCAGTGAGTGTAGGATTCTTAAGACTTTTAAGACCTTTAACCTTAGGGATTTCAATTTTGTTCATTTTATTAGAAGTATAGTCTCTATACATGGAATAAAAACTGTCACAACTCTGCTTTTTCTGAGTAGTTATTTGGGTCTTGAAATGTCCACATTAGTGGAAGTTGTTGTAGCATTGCCTGGGCTTTATTCTCTAGACCCTCCTCCTTAAAATTTTCAGGAATTTAAAGGGTTTTAAAGTGCAAGAAAGGTGATCCTCTTTTATAAGGCAGAAAGGGGAGAAGAAGAACTCTGTAATCATTGTTTCCCTTGATTGTGTTGCTGCATTATTGCCATAGAAACTGGTCCTGCAGTCTGGTAATTATGGACCTTTGCTACTAGGAAGTCTTTGCCCATTCAGATGCCTCAGTCTCCATGGTCAACCACACTTAAACTTCAAAGAAACACTTTTTTTTAGTTCACATACATATGCTTATATGCTTGGCCATTGTTCCTAAAAGCCCCAGCATCCTGCTGTGGCAGCTAGGCCTCCTACCTTTAGCCACACAAACACAAGGTGAGCAAAGAGATCCCTCCCCCATACTTGCATGGAGCTTACGTGGAGCCCACATTTTAGTTTAGATTTAGCCTAATCCTTTGTAAATTGTCCTTTGAAGTCCTTTTCTCCAGAAAATAATAGTTGAGATTGTTCTAAACTGTCAGAAAGTTTCAAATAATGTTTCAGGAAAAGAGTTCCGTTGCTTCTTTGTTACTAGATCTATGCCCTGAGGCCTACTTATAACCTGTGTAGGATCTTTTCTTAAGCTGTGAAAGATCCTCTAGTAGTGGAAACCAACTTGCCCTTGGCCCTCAAATGATCTGTCCTTCATAATTATGAAAATATTTGAAGATAGTTGGTCCTCTACCTCAAAATTTAAAAATGTTTTCAAATTCTAAGAAGCTGCTGGATGTATACCTCTAAATTGGAACAGGTTAGTTGGATTTCTATGACAAAACAATACCAAAGCAAATAGACAACCTACACAGTAAGAAAGGATATTTGCATATTTTGAATTGGATAAAAGCTTAATAACTAGGATCTACAGAGGGCTCAAATTAATAAACACAAAAGAAACAAGAATCCTTTATAACACAGGACAAGAGAGATGACCACAGCCTTCTCTAAAGAAGACAGATGAATGGCTAACAAACATATGAAAAAATGCTCATAATCCCTAATTATTAGACAAATGCAAATTAAAACCACCCTGAGATATCACCTAACCCCAGTGAGAATGGCTCACTCTATAAAGTCTCAAAACTACAGATGCTGGCATGGGTATGGACAGAAGAGAACACTTTCGCAATGCTAGTGAGACTGTAAACTAATGCAACATTTTTGGAAGGAAGTATGGAGAACCCTCAAAGAACTCAAACTACCCCTCCCATTTGATCCTGCAATTCCATTACCAGGCATCTACCTAGAAGGAAAAGAAAATCCATTTACCGTAAGGACACTTGGCACTAGACTATTTATCACAGCTCAATTTACAATTGCTAAAATGTGGAAATAGCCTAAATGCCCACCAACCCAGGAATGGATTAACAAGCTGTGGTATATGTATACCATGGAATATATTATTCAACCAGTAAAAAAGATGGAGAATTTACATATTTTGTATTAAACTGGATGGAAGTGAAACACTTTATTCTTAGCAAAGCATCAGAAGAATGGAGAAGCATGAATCCTATGTACTCAATTCTGATATGAGAACAATTAATGACCTAGCACATGGTGGGGGGTTTAGGATGGGGAAAAAAGAGAAAGGGAGGGTGGGGTGTCACGTGGGGGTAGTGGTACACCTTTTGGGGGCAGAACACTATTATTGGAGGGTCTTTATTTGACACAAGCAATCAATGTAACCTGGTCTTTGTACACTCAATGAATCCCAAAAAATTAAAAAAAATACTTATATACAAAAGTAGAACTTTGTGCTTGCTTTGGCAGCACATATAATAAAATTGAAACAATACAGAGAAGATTAGCATGACTCACATGCAAGGGTCACATGCAGTTTTTTGAGACTGTCCATATTTTGTGCAGTCCTTGGAAGTTCACCGAATTGTTTGACAAACTCTAATAGTATGAGTCAAAGCAAAATGGGCAGCACCCAATATTGAAACTGTGATGTTCTCGAAAAAAATATTTGTGTAAGATGATCTATGAAATGAGAATGGAGCTGAATAATACCTGGGATGTTGTGTGCAACGTGTTGTTGGTATATTTCAGAAATGAGAAAGTATCAACTTGGATCTCCTTCATGGAACTTAAAGAAGTAGGATCCTTCACATCAGTTGGAGATAAGCATGGAGGTTAAATACCATTCTAACAAAGATCTGCTGGCTCAGAATCTGACTAGGTAGAGAGAGAATAGTAGGAATCCAAACAAGGTCTTGACATTTATTAGTTTTCTGCCATTATAATGGGGGATATTTAATTTATGTTATCTAATTTAGTGAGCTAATGTATTTACAAATAAATTTTGTTGAAAACTATGAAACAGCTGAGATGACTTTGTTACTGGATGAAGAGAGTTTGGCCACCTGTCACTGTTAGCCAATATGGAGAGATGGGGATAGGTACACCACACTTTATTTGTCAGATGGCCAGCAAGTGTGCAGAAGAGTAGGAGTAGCCTCTCCAAGACTATTCAGTTCTTTGATTTCCAAAATCACAGTTTTTTATTGTTGGAGATTCATTGAGGGTACAAAGAACAAGGTTACACTAGTTGCATTTGTCAAGCAAAGTTACTCTTATAAATGTGTTCCTCTCCAAGAGGTGTGCCAAACACTGTGACCTTCCCCTCCTTCCCTCTCTCCACTCCCCCATTCCTCCACACCCCAACACGTACTAGGTTATCAATTGTCCTCATATCAAAATTGAGTACATTGGATTCTTGCTTCTCCATTCTTGTGATGATTTTCTAAGAAGGATGTGTGCCACCTCCATCCAAATTAGAACAAAGGATGTATAGTGTCCATCTTTTTAGTGGCTGAATAGTATTCCATGGTATACATATACCACAGCTTGTTAATTCATTCCTGGGTTGGGAGCATTTAGGCTCTTTCTACATTTTGGTGATTATGAATTGAGCTGTGCTAAACAGTCTAGTGCAAGTGTCCTTATGGTAAAAGGACTATTTTTTTCTTCTAGGTAGATGCTCAGTAATGGAAGGATCACATGGGAAGTCTAGTTTGAGTTCTTTGAGGGTTTTCCATACTTCCTTCCAAAAGATTGTATTAGTTTGAAGTTCCAGCACCAGTGTAAAAGTGTTCCCTTCTCTCCACATCCACACCAGCATCTGAAGCTTTGAGACTTTGTGATGTGGGCCATTCTCATTGGGGTTAGATGATATCTCAGGGTGGTTTTGATTTTCATTTCTCAAATAATTAGGGATAATGAGCAATTTTTCGTTTTTTTTTTGTTTGTTTTTGTTATTTTTTTATTTGTCTGTCTTCTTTAGAGGAGGTTCTATTCATCTGTCTGGCCCATTGATAGAAGGGATTGATGGTTCTTTTTCTGTTGCTTAGTTTGAGTTCTCTGTAGATCCTCATTATCTTTTGTCCAATTCATAGTATGCAAGTATCTTTTCCCATTCTGATGACTGTCTATTTGCTTTGGTTGTTGTCCCCTTAGCTGTACAGAAGCTATTGAGTTTAATTAAGTCCCATTTGTTTATTTTTGCAGCTGTTGCAATTACCACTGAAGTCTTCTTCATACAGTCTTTTCCCAGACCAGTACCTTCAAGTGTTTTTCCAGTATTTCACGTATTTTTATTGTTTTATGCCTTAGATTTAGATCTTTTATCTATCTCAAATAAATTTTAGTGAGTGGTGAAAGATGTGGATCCATTTTAGTCTTTACATGCGGTTATCCAGTTCTCCCAGCACCATTTACTGAATAGGGATTCTTTCCTCTAGTGTATGTTCTTGTTTGGTTTATCAAAGATTAGGTGCTGTAAGATGTTAGTTTCATTTCTTAGTTTTTTCTTTGGTTCCAAATGTCTAGATCTCTCTTTTTGTGCCAATACCCTGCTGTTTTGATGACTATGGCCTTGTAGTACAGCCTAATGTATGGTAGGCTGATTCCCACAGCTTTGTTTTTATTACTAAGCATGGTTTTAGCTAGTCAGATTCCTCCTGGTTCCATAAAAACAAAAGAATTATTTTTTCCAAGTCTTTAAAGTATGATGTTGGTATTTTAATAGGGATTTCATTGAATCTGTGGATTGCTTTGGGAAGCATAGACATTTTAACAATGTTGATTCTTCCCAGCCATGACCATGGTATGTCCTTCCATTTTTATTTCTTTTCTTAGGGTTACATAATTTTCTTTATAGAGATCCTTCACCTCTTTTGTGAGGTATATTCCTAGGTATTTTATTTTCTTTGAAACTACTGTGAGGGGAATTGTGTCCTTGATTGTCTTTTCATCTTGGCTGATGTTCTTGGCATATATAAAGGCTACTGATTTGTGGAGATTAATTTTATATCCTGAGACCCTACTGTATTTTTTGATAACTTCCAGGAGTCTTGTGATTGAGTCTTTGGTCTCCTCTAAGTATAACATCATATCATTGGCAAAGAGGAAGAGTTTGACCTAATGTGCCCTCATTTGGATGTCTTTTATTTCCTTCTCTTGCCTGATTGTATTGGCTAGAACTTCCAACACTATGTTGAATTAGTAATGCTGATAGAAGACAACCTCGTCTGGTTCCAGTTCTAAGTGGAAAAGCTTTCAATTTTGCCCTGTTGAGTATAGTACTAGCTGTGGGTTTGTTGTAGACAGCTTTGATCAGTTTAAGAAATGTGCCACCTATACCTGTATTCTTCAGTGTTCTAAGTAGAAAAGGATGCTGGGTTTTATTAAAGGCTTTTTCTGTTTGTATTGAGAGGATCAGGTCTTCATTTTTGGTTCTTTTGATATGGTATATTCAAAAATCACAGTTTTATAAATAAAAGTTAAAAACAAGAATCATGCTAACCCTTATACTAAACAGCAGTAGTTAATACTCACTTTAAATAAAAATAACCACCATAACCCATGACCTGTAACAAACAATCACTGACATAACCCATGATCCATATAACAACATTCCAATTCAGAAGTTAATCTCCTTAATCTACTGACTTAAGCTATTCAAGATAAACAATTTTAGGTTAAAACCATATTTATAGAACAATAAGGATGGGAAACATGAGGTAAAGGTCACATAGGACATAACCGGCCAGACCATTTGTGTCATCTCAGCCCTAACCTGACTCCATCTTATTCTTGCTACATGTGCTGTCAACCTGATTTATAAGCCACAGGATAGAAAACAACCAATACCCAAAAAAGTAGTACTCAATAAATATGTACTGGAAAATGCAACATTAGAATATTAAAACCTATGGGGCAGCACCTGTAGCTCAGTGGGTAGGGTGCTGGCCACATACACCGAGGCTAGCCATTTGGAACCTGCCTAGGCCAGCTAAAACAACAATGACAACCGCAACAACAACGAAAATAGCTGGGAATTGTGGTGGGTGCCTGTAGTCCCAGCTACTTGGGAGGCTGAGGCAAGAGAATCACTTAAGCTCTAGAGTTTGAAGTTGCTGTGAGTTGTGACACCATGGCACTCTACCCAGGGTGACTTAGTGAGACTCTGTCTCCAAAAAAAAAAAAAGACTATCATAACCTATGAAAAATACAGATTATATTTTATTTGGCATCTATGATAGTTTCAATAATAAAGTTTAGGAACAAATGTATTCCTATTCCTCTGAGCATTTAAAAATTTCATTTCAATAAATCATCATAACAACCTAGTTAAAGAAGATCATAAAATCCTTATTTTTAGAAAAAAAAATATTGAACCTAAAAGAAGGAATTTGACCATGAAGAATTAGCTATTTGTTACAGAAGTAGAACATGTTCTGAGTTCAGGAAGTTTTCCATTTTTTCAAGCTAATTCTAGTTAATGTAATGAAGACTATTTCACTTTACTTTTTTTCTTCACTCTTTAGAAGCTGTATAAGAAATTTGTAGAGATTAAAAATTTGAACTGTATGGGATAACTTTCTGATATCACCTCTTATATTTTCTGAAATACTCTAATACCTTAATATATTTGGTAAATGTGTTTCATATCAGTATTAAAACTATAATTCTATTTATTCTTTATTCATAGCATTCAACAGAAAATTTTGGAATATAAGGCAAAAATTAAACCTATAACTCCTACACAAGGTAAGACTTCTGATAATGAATTACTCTGGGTTGTCCTATCAGTAAGAGTGGGAAGTTCTGAATACAAAGGAGCAGTTACCAAAAAAGTGTAAATTTTACGTATTTTTTCTTCATTTGTTCCTTCCAAGCCTAGAGTTCAGAATTGTCTAGGAAGTCAGTTGCAGATAACTTAGAATCCAAAACAATATTGTCTGAAAACAATTCATTTAATTAGTTATGGCCCCTAAAATCTTAGATTTTTGTATAAATAAGAAAAAAGATGTGAAAGTTAGAATGTTGAAAATTTTCTCTATCATCATACTGTAATGAGTTGAACCTATTAATAAAATAAATCCTCTGCTTAATTTTTATAATAGGGGATTTAGGTTCATCAAAAGAATATTAATTACTGTTTACCCTCAAAGAACATGGGGGTTATAGTCAAACATCTGCATATAACATTTTTGGGGGGAGACAGGGTCTTCCTCTGTTGGCCAGGGATGCATCATCATAGCTCA